AAGTTTAGATTAAGGATTACAACTTTCATTATTTAACTTTTAGTGATTAACTTGTAAAAATTATGACTTGTATTAGATGTAAAGTTTTTTTAACAGGCGAAAAACATATAAAATTTAGAAAGCGAAAAGAGCTAAAGAAATATATTCATCCCAGTTTTTGTTAAATTGATTAACACATTTACTTAAGACTTCACATAAAGTCTTATTGAAACGTTCAACCAAACTATTGGTTTGGTGATAATATGCTATAGAAGTATGATAAGTTATACTTATCTTTTTGCAAAGGCCGGTAATGAGTTTGTTACAAAAGTGGGTGCCTCTATCGGAAAGTATTTCATTTGGGCTGCCATGTTGGCAGATTAAGTCCTCGTAAATAAAGATTGCGACATTTTCAGCATCAGCAGATTCAAGGGTACAAGCATCAGGCCACTTAGTAAGGTATTCAGTAGCAACCACAATATACCTTTTATTGGTTGAAGTTATAGGAAGTGGACCCACAATGTCAATATCTATACGATCAAAGGAACTTCTAACTTTAATGGGATACAAAGGTTCGCGGGTGTTAGATTTTCATTTTTTCTGACATATATCACACGTTCTAATATATTCTTTTATATCATTGCCCATTTGAGGCTAAAAATAATGGGCAGCTATTCGTTGATAGATGGCATAAAAGCCAAAATGCCTGGAGAGAGGGTCGTTATGCATATTGAAAAGTATGGCTTGGGTTTCACCTTCCTTTAAAACGCGTAATAGACATGTAGGAAATTGGAGATTATTTTTGTATAATAACCTGTCTAAGACCAAATAATGCCAGGTCTTATATTTTAAACTTTTAATCTCTTGAGGAGTAAAGTGGGAAGGTACTATTGTGTCTACAAGGTATCGAAGGTAAAGTAAATATAATTGAGGGTCCATTTTCGCTAACTTGGTCTAATTCATGTCAATTAAATTTTACTATCAATTTTATTAGATTTAAGGATAATTGAAACTTAAAATATAGAAAATGGAAAAGTAAGATTAAACTGAATATGCCAGGACACCGTAACCTGGACTGGATTCGCAGATTTTTAAAAAAAGTAAAAAAAATTTTAAAACCAATTTTTGTTTTTATTGGGTTCCAAAAATTTAATATATATTTTATTTCTTCTTTTTCTTAATTATTTAGAACTATGAGTGCTTTATCGGTAGTGACCTATTGAATGCGGAAAAGACTATCTGCATTAAGGTGAAATCTTCTGGGATGATATACAGTTGTGAAGAAATATTCAGTAAGAGTCATTATCCATCTAGCTAGAAAGTCTTGAGGTAATTTAACTTCAAATAAATATTTAAGGCCGGAATAGTCGATATATAAAATGAATCAGCTTTCATGTAGATAAGGACAAAAATATTCTACAGCCCATACGATGGCTAAGTATTCCTTTTCGGTAATGAATAATTTTTCTCAGCTTGGGTAAGACTTCGACTTGCGTAGGATATAGCTTGCTCATGGCCTTTCTCATTCTTTTGGGATAATATGGCACCTAATGCGACGTTGGAAGCATCGGTGAAGAGGATAAAAGTTTTATCAAAATCCGGTACGCTAACACGGGAGCGGTAATTAATTTTTCTTTTAAGGCTTCAAAAGCCTTTTGTTGTTCTTCTTTCCACACATAGGCTTGATGTTTCTTTAATAATTGGTTAAGAGGGGCGGCGATTTTAGTAAAATTTTTAATAAATTTTCTATAGTAAGAGGCTAGCCCTAAAAATCCTTATAGCTGCCTCAAATTTCTAGAGACAGGAAAATTTTTTACTGCTTCTACTTTTTGCGGGTCAGTGGCTATTTTTTTTTTCCTTACTATGTGACCTGAAAATTTTAACCATTGTTGGCTGAAGAAACATTTGGAAGACTTAAGGGTAAGACCAGCTAATTTTAATCACTCGAAAACTATTTTCAAATGAGTTAAGTGATTCTCAAAAGTTTTCGAATAGACGTTAATATTGTCTAAATATACAATGACACATTCCCCAATTAGGTCCTGAAAAAGGTAATCCATAAGACGTTGGAAGGTAGCTGGTGTGTTCGTCAGCCCAAAAGGCATGACATGAAACAAATAGACACCAAAAGGTGTGGTGAAAGCGGTTTTAAATTTGTTAGATTCTTCTACCTGATCTGCCAGTACTCACTAGCAAGGTTGAGTAAACTGTACCATGCTGAACCATTTAAGGCGTCTAAGAGGTCTTGAATCCGGGGTAGTGGGTAATTATCTTTTTGAGTTACCGAATTTAATTTTTGGTAATCAATACAGAATCGCATTTGGCTATCGAGTTTGGGTATTAATACCACCGGAGAGGTCTACGGACTTTGGCAGGCTGAATAAGACCTTCTTTTAACATTTTATTAATTTCATCTTTAATTATTTTCTTTTCAGCAAGAGAATGCCAATATTGATGATGCTTAATGGGTAAGGCATTTCCAGTATTGATGCTGTGCTTGATTAAATTGGTACGTCCTAGTTTATGGCCTTCCCAAGTAAATAAACCCGAATTTCATTCTAAGAAATTCCTAAGCTGTTTACTTTGGCTCTACTCGAGAGGACCTATATTAAAAGTATTTTGTCTACCAACTTCCTCTCCATAGTAATAGTCAAATATATCTTTAATAGGACTAAATTCTTCTTTACTAATCTTATTAGAAATATACCCACGAAGATCTGGTTTTACATTCTCTTCTTAAAAATAGGCATTGCTGGCCAAGTCATACAAACATTTAGCTGATGAGGTCTTAAGTTTTTCTTTTATAATCTTATTTTGCCTTCTTACTTCATCGATTATTTCATCAGCATCAGAATCATTTTCATTGAACTGATATTCAGAAACTTTATGTTTCCAGGCCGACACATACTATTCAAAATTTGAATTGGTAAATTCATCTGAACCACTTTCAAGAATTATCGTTAGAGAATTTCCCTCTGGGGTTACAATGAATGGGGAAACTATTCTATTATACTGGGTAGTAGTACCTAAAGAATTTTGCAGGTTATTAAAAGAGTCTGGGAAATTATTATTAACTGTAGTTCTATTTAGAGATAATGATGTTTCACTTTTTAAAATAAGTTCTTCATAGTGAACCAACAGAGAGAATTTAAAATTTAAGAAAGCTAAAGACAATTCTTTTCGTATATAGTTTAAGGACAAGGGTTGGGAAAATTCTATACTAATTTTGTCTGATGTTGTAACCAAGGGAGGATTAGACGAACTGTTAGAAGGAAAATTTAATTTTTCTACAATTTTTTTAACAGACCCACTTAATTGAGTCTTAAGTTGGGACGCGTAGTATTCCAACTCCTCAAAAGGTTTAGATACATTATCTTGCTCAACCGGGGGAATAGTAATTGGAGAAATAGGGCGTGACCCTTTTTTAGTTGAAGGTTCTAATACTTTAAGGCAAGAAGTGGTAGAGAGAGTAAGATTATTGAATAATTTAAATGAAGTATTAGGAGACTGATCCAAAAATATATTAATGGGAACTTTGTTATTTTTACAAGCTTTGAAAGGATCGTTTTGGTAAGAATTTAGGAACTCCGAAAATTTTGATGAATTCGAAAGGTAATTTTTTTTTTTTTTTTTTTTGACGATCATGCCACATGCCCTGCTTTTATTGATCATTTATGACAATCCAAAGGATTTTTATATTACATCTTATTACTGGAATGTGACTCACCCGGTTACCTATATAGAGTACCT